TAAATATATATGTAAATATATATATATAAATATATATATATATATTTCATTTGTGTTCCACATGTGTTCCGACAGAATAATAGAAAATAATGAAACAACTTCAGTAGTAGACTTTAAGAACACTGATTTATTATAAACTCGGATATTTCTGCCACTCCTGTGGCCTTCATCAGCGAGAAATATATATATATATATATTGCCAAAAGAACGACCGAATAGCAGATAGCTAATAATTTTCAAAAACAACACAACAGATCGTATCTTCATCATAGGCAAAGCCTGTATTTACAGGATCTTAGGAGGAGACTTAATTTGGGGAGCAGCCGAATGGGGGTCCCAAGTGAAGGTGGGGGTCCATGTGAGGTGTTGCCCCGGGGCTCTTACTGGCTCTCGACGCCACTGCATAAAAATATCGCACCCCCAAGGCGTCTACTTAAATGGGAATATTTGCGGCAAAACAAATTACGCTTTAGTTAAAAATCCCGATATCACATTATTCAGCTAAGGCCTTCCCACTTAAGATGTGTATAAGAGACAGATATATATACTGTATATATACATACTACACATATCATCTTTTCTCATCCATTTGTTTCTTTTTTGTTGATGGTTTTTGTTGTTCTTTTTTCTTTGTCTATGCTTGAGTCATCTTATTTGTTTCTTTTATTCAACTATTGTTGAAAACACATAGGGACCTAGTATTTATGCGCTATACAAGTCACAGCCATTACCAATATATATTTCAAAACATTTATGTGGTAAAGTTCAATTTGAAATGCTATTATTCAATAACGTTACTACTGTAGTTTTCCAACAAAAATATTCAGATGTCATAAACAAAAAATAATCTTGAAAGTAATAACAATTATCAATAACTACTGTATACACACATCTGTTACAAGTGAAATTCCCAACCCATAAAAACAGTGGCGTGGAGAGGGGGGTTCAGGGGGATCGCTGCCCCGGGACCCGGGTCTACTGGGGGGCCCGGACCAAGATGAAAAATTTTCGGGGTAAGAACAAAATCTCCATGGGGCCCGAGCCCAAGCCAGGATGAAAACTTTTGTTGTCAGAACAAACTCTACATTATGGTTTTCTGGGCATCTTTTTCAGTCTTTCTGCATTTTTATTACGAGATGAATAATCCCCCAGGGGAATAGTCCACCAAATGCTCTCCCGTTCCAAACCAGATATTTGGAACGATTATTATTGTTTATTTATCAGATTATTTTGATACATCTACATTGCATAAAAATAATCACATGGAATCATATTCATGTATGTGGGTTTGGACAAACAGGATCTTAGGAGGAGACTTAATTTGGGGAGCAGCCGAATGGGGGTCCCAAGTGAAGGTGGGGGTCCATGTGAGGTGTTGCCCCGGGGCTCTTACTGGCTCTCGACGCCACTGCATAAAAATATCGCACCCCCAAGGCGTCTACTTAAATGGGAATATTTGCGGCAAAACAAATTACGCTTTAGTTAAAAATCCCGATATAACATTATTCAGCTAAGGCCTTCCCACTTCATCAAACCCCCACATTTCAATATTTCTAGATACTCCACTGATGCTAATGCCAAAGATTTACAGAGTTAGCAAGTTAAATATTGATTATATTTATTATTAGCTCAACATAGACGACATATCTTTAATGAGGTCACAAGAAATCCATGGTTCGAGCCTTACAAACCTATTTTAATTATTAACAGGCAGCATTAGAGCTTTACATACAACCTTTAATTAATTATTTACCCTTTAGAGAATCCATAGATAATAATATGAATACAATTCTTAAACATGATCTATAAACATAATTACTATGTTTGTACACAACTTATATATTGCAAAAGAAAAAGATAGAAAATCAAGATATATAAAAAAAAGAAGCTAAACATCACAACACAATGGAAGATCTTCTTAAGAACTTTGCTGAATATTCATATTTGATAAATTAAAACATACATTTATCGACATAAGTACCAATCACGAATGATGTTGAATGACCTCAGCTATCAATGTGACTTAGCGAATTGCTTAGGCAATACTCAAACCTGAATATTCATACTTTCTTGTTAAATATTCTTAACCCTTTTGGCTATTAAAATGAACTTACTTTAAAATACAAAAAACTGTACACTATAAATCTGAATACAGATTTCTAAATGAGGGTTTCAATTAAAGAAAAAAACCCATTTTTATGCAACATTAAAAAAATTTAAAACAATGCAAGAAAACATTAACATAAAAATGAAAATAGCAGTTGCACACATTTTTGTGTTAATCAGTAGTTACTGAAGTTCAAAATGAAGACTTAATTTGAAAATTGTTTAGGGTGGATACACTAACATCACTTTAATCCTTACATAGTTCTGATAGAACAAAGGCTAATGAAAGGTCAATTTTTTTTCTCACTGTTCATGATCCCCATTTTTCGGCACAATATAAGTAGTGCTCTGAAAGAATCAATCTCTATGGTAACCTTAATTGTAAAAAAGTCGAATAATATCACAGTACAGTGGATAATAATGTAATGTATGCTATTCATCAAAATCTTTTTAAAAATTTCATTAAAAATGCTCTTAACATGTTGACAGCCAAACCTTTTTTAAGGTTCCTTTCCATGTGCCAAAACAAAATTTTTAACACTTTTTTGAAATTTTATCTAGTCATGCATCATCAAAATGATGTGTCTAATAAATAGGCAGGAACATATTAGGGGACGAGTAAACTCGTCTGCGGCACTGTGACAGCACTTTTTATTGACTATGCCAAGTGCGAGTTTTCTCGTCCACTTTTTGCATGGGATGTTATATGTTCAAAGGGCACCCCCCACTTGTTCCGCTCGAGTGTACTGCTGGCAACATAATACAACAAACATACATATATTCTCGGTGCATCTTCTCCGAACTACCAGCCGTTAAGTCTGTGGTTCTACAATGTATAACAAAGAAGTAATAAACGCTAGAATGTTACCCCGATTTCGGTGAGTATATTTGTCCCTGGCACCCTCGGCAACACCCTGTGGGACGAGTATACTTGGTTGCTGGCAGCCAACATGTTAATATCAAATGGATACACTGCAAATTGTGGATCTATTATTTGATATGCAAACCCTATCTCATATCAAAACGATAAGGAACATTCAAGCTAGAAATTGAGAAACTGGAGGCCCATGGGTAACCTAAGCAAAGACTGCCATATTGGTATCAATCTGATGGCCAAATATTTGTGAATCCCAGGGAAATTTCTACCCTTCCCTACTGGCGGATATTGTGTCTACAGCATACAGTATTTAGAGAGTTACATTGAGATTGATCAAATAACAAATAATAACACCATCCTCACAAACACTAACATCTTGTGACATAGCGTACTTCACAATACTTCTCCAATTAGACTTTACATGTAGGTTTGGGCTGTCCTCTTTCCAATTTGGAGCTATTTCCAAGTATTAGGGAGGTTTCGCACGCGAACGCGTACAGTTAGTGTGACGGATACTTCATTATTTTGACGTTATACGATGGCTGCTATCCGCTAAATGTGTGGACGACACGCATATCTCTCTCACTACACATAAGTGAAAAACGCGTAGGGAAATTTTGTATTTCTAGTAGGATCTTCGTGTATTTTTTCACATTTTACGTAAGTGTAAAAAATAAATGTATCCTTGAATATGTATGTGCCATTTTTGTGACATCTGAAGACAGCAAATTACGATAGGATGCGTTTCATTTTGTGGTGTCAGGATTTTGTGTATGCCTAGGCCTACTTGTAGCCAGGCACTTTTGGGTCATAAACAATAGGGCCTATCACAAAATAACCAACACTTCTGGACAACAAAGGAAGTATTTTTCGGCTACAATTTTTAATTTCAATTTCCAAAACCTTACATATACTAATAAAACTTTGAAAAGCATGATGAGAGAAGAGTGCAGTGTATAGTAGGCCTAAGCTAAGGACCTAGGCCTAGGCTACACTTGAATTGCGCGCTGTGACTGCGAAAAACACAGGATGGCTACGAAATTTGTTCGCGTAGTAAACCTCTCTAATAAAGACCCTCAATTAACAAAGATACCATCATAGTATTCACGCCATTTAAATACAGCAACACATTAAACCTCAGGAATTAATACTAATGTTTTTACCTTAATACAATTTGCATTTCCATTGCAAATCCAATACCATAGGTGAAATCAGTACTTTGTAATTTATTTTACTATAGTGGTCACTTTATCCTGGTGCTATGTTTATATACAGTATTACTTAATGTAGTTCTTGGCCTGGGTACCTCCTCTACTCACGGTCTCTGTGCAGACCACCCTCAGCGACAGAGAGACTGAGCTCCATGTAGGTGGAGACAGTTTTTGTACATGGAAGATGTGTATAAGAGACAGGCTGCCAACTTGTGCATTTAGCTATCATCGCATACTTGATATACACACTGCTGATTCTTATACATTTCTGAAAGGATTAACGAAGATGAAATTTAATTTGTAATCTTGATAAATTAATTAATAACATATTTACTTACATAATAACCTATTTACTTATATTATTAGTATTAGTAGATATTATTATTTATATTACTTTTTTGTTAACGTATTTTTTTGTTTTTTTGTAAACCCTTTTTATATATTTCGTTCTACTGCAGTATTTTCTTTGCTATATTTAATCACAGTAATTAAGTTTATACTGATTTTGTTATTGTTGCACATCTTCTACGGTTGTGCCTCGGTTATAAAAGAGAAGCAATAAAGTTACTTACGCTGGAATTGTGGGCTGGCTTGTTGTTGGCTGGCAGATTGTTGGCTAGCTTGATGTAGCTGAATTCGTTCGATGGTTTTCAGTTGTCAGAAAGGTCTATCAACATAATTATTTGGGTTGCGTAGTTGACCCCTTTGATCTTGAATATATTTCTATCTAGTGTTGTTCTACCAAGGTATGTACGCACATTGATGTAGGTATTTTAGGATTGAGATTAAATGCCAGGAATTAGTAAGTAACAAGAACGAAACCGTAGGCCTAGGCCATGACCATACGACACTGTTCACAACAACAACTCGTTCCTGCCAGGGCTTAGTTGCTTGAAGCCCTGTGACTATGCAGTAACTACTTGGACATTGTTGGCCTAGGCAAGCCTAATCGAGGCGCTAATGCACTTTCGCACCTAACTTTTAATTCTTAATTTTTTTTAACTTGTATTTTCTTCTCACAGTCACAACACATAATTATAAAACATTTTTACATGATTCATCCTCTCATAAAGTACATTTTTTTAACAAAAAGATACCTTTATAAATATAGAATAGGTTGATACCTGTCTCTTATACACATCTAGATGTGTATAAGAGACAGGTACTGTCATGTGACCTAACACTTTCCTCAAACTGGAAAATAATACATTAAAATAAAAACATTACTAAAAATATAACTTGGCAATAAAGGTATTGTTCAAATTATAAAAACTGGTACAACATGGAGGTACAGATATGAAATAAACTTCACAGTAAACAACAATCTCTTGATGGAATCACAGAATAGTTTTGGAAGTACTAGGATGAGTTCCTCATCACATTGTAATTATTATTATGAATGTACCGGTATTACCATTATAATTATTGTCATCATCAATGTTTTTGATATTAAAAAAGAAAATTATCAACATCCAATTGGACTTAACCACATTCTACATACACAATGAATGTTATACCACTAGACCAAAAAGACAATGAAAACTTTTCATTCTTGCTGGTGGGGGTGATAAGATATTTATTACATGGCCTTATTTTTGGACTTGTCGGTAACTATCTGTAAATATTCACTTCTGTGCAATAATTCTTCTTCTGGCTTCTTGACCCCATTGGAAATAAGTCTGGTGTACTAACACAAGACTTAATGGGTCATCCAGGCATTCCATTAATTTTTTCTCTTTTATATCTCTATGTATTTTCTCTTAATTTTATTGTAATGTGTGACACTGAATAAAAAATAAATCAAATCAAATCAAACTTACAGCAGGTAACCCTAGACCAGCTCTTGCCCAATCTGCTTGTGTTAAGTATTCCTTGAGAGCCTCAATTACAGGTGATACCATATTGCTCTTGGGAAAGACACACTCATTACACACTGGACAGGTATATCCTGCAGGTGCTGTGTTGGATGGCAGTTCCTTTGCAAAATCATCCAGGCATGACCAGTGGAAAACATCTATAGAAAAATTTTGTAACAAAATTAGTTAATGTTAAATAAATTCATAAATGTTTAAGTTGAGCAATAACTAATATTAATGAATATTATTATTTAATATCTATACTGTGATTTGTCCTTTTAATTGTAATCTATTTTTTTTATCTTGTGTTTGTATTGTTTTCAATTTTCACAAGGCTGTTAAATTGGCAATTACTTTTCACTGTTGATTTTGAAATAAAAAAAATAAAAAAAATTCATATTCATTGCTAAATCTTAAAAGTTATAAAATGTGAAGAACAGAGATGTTCCAAACATAATAACAACTTGCAATTCATTTATTATATTTAATTTTATTTGGCTCTAACATAAAATACAATATAGAGTACTACAGTGTTACATCATGATACCACGTGATACTACTCCATTGCTATCGTTGCAAAAAGCGTTCAACCGGGTGTCATTTTCTCCACTGACAAACCATTAATCTCAATTTATAACGTAATTATTTAGATGTTGTATCTTACTTTTTCACCTGGTGTTGTGACGACACAACTGTGGTACTCTATACACAATAAAACCAAACTGCTATCAATGCAGTTATCGTACTCCTTGTTGAACTGTTAAGTATATGAAATAGGTACCTATAACTACAGATAAAACAAAATAGTAAAATCAGGTCTGTTTAGTGTTACCTACCATGACATGTCAACCGTACTACTTCTTCGCTTGCAAGTGTTTGGCCACATAATGTACAATTAGTGTCATAATCACTATCTTGAAGCCAGTGAAGGTACGACTTTACAATGCACTGAAAACAGATGGCAAAAGCATTTGAAATTTGTATAATAGCATAATAAATACTCCAAGTATCAAAATTCATGCCATCGTGTTAAAATTCAATATTTTGACATTAATTATGGCATCATTCCTGATGATCACATAACTAATGTCGAAATATTGAATCCCGACATGATGGCATGCATTTCGATATTTGGAGTATGTATTATACAGTACTATCTTATCTGAGATTAATCAGTGGAACTTTTCGTCAGTTGTACAGTATGTGCCTGGGCTTAGATCTGCACAGGTACTGTATGTGTCTGTGTTATATGATACTCACTTTGATAGGGAGTTGAAGATTTGCATCCTGCCAGATACACTTTTTTTTCATAGTAGTTACACAATTGAAGAATTTGGCACGAAGTGCTACTGAGGGCATTGGCCTGTGGGCGGGAGGTTTCGGGAGTGTCCTTATTACATGGGGTCCAGGAAGTGTACCAGATTGCTTGGAAGCCTTTTAGCTACGTAAATTTCTTGATTCTTATGATGTGTATTCCAGTAATAAAAGAATTGATTTTAACTTGTTTGTGTGTTTGAATCACTGTTTTTCGTATTATTATTATTAAATTATTATTATTAATTATCAATTTGTTTTTTTTCTTTCATATTTTTAGGCCTAGGCCTATTCAGTTTTTCTGCCTTAAAATTAGAATATACAAACAAAATAAAAATTGACAACAAATATTGAGAGGAGATAAATATTACCTCTACTAGACTAACAGTGTAGCCTAGACGGTGAGCCTAGGCTACCTACCTAGGCAGCATAGGCCTCTAGGCCTAGTAGAAGAGTAGGCCTAATGTGCCTTACTTACTAGTTCGTAGGCCACGGCTAGTGAGTACCTACCCTAGGATGATTTGCCACCAAGCAGTGTTCGCAGACGTTTACCCGGTGTTCAAAACAGAACAAGTTTGTCACCTTTCGTTTAGGACATTTACAAAGCCCCATAGTGAAATACTTAGTATATGATATGTGCAGTATTTTTCTTTCCTAGTGTTCAACCTAAAAACTCAAGCAACATCAATCCATGTTCAACATGATCATCATTATTGTTGTCATTTCTCAATCTGCTGAAGCTTGCCACGTAATTTAGCTTCATTACGCAGGGTCACCGAGTACGAGATTTTCTTCGCCAACTGGATGGGGAGAGAGTCGAATATAATAATTATAATAACATAAATGATAAAATGAGTTTAATAGTATACATTATACTTAATTATCCTTTAACCTAATTATCAATGAAAAAATACCACAAATTGTGTATGATTGGAAAGAAATTAGGTCACCACTCATATTTATTCCGACACATTCACTAACGATGTAATACAAAGGGTTGAGTCGGATTGAAAAATTACACACAGTTCAGATAGACTGTGTGTCAGGGATGGTCAGGGATCGTTAGCACACTTCCGGATATTCTCTTGTTCGAATTCGTTCGATGGTTTTCAGTTGTCAGGAAGGTCTATCAACATAATTATTTGGGTTGCGTAGTTGACCCCTTTGATCTTGAATATATTTCTATCTAGTGTTGTTCTACCAAGGTATGTATGCACATTGATGTAGGTATTTTAGGATTGAGATTAAATGCCAGGAATTAGTAAGTAACAAGAACGAAACCGTAGGCCTAGGCCATGACCATACGACACTGTTCACAACAACAACTCGTTCCTGCCAGGGCTTAGTTGCTTGAAGCCCTGTGACTATGCAGTAACTACTTGGACATTGTTGGCCTAGGCAAGCCTAATCGAGGCGCTAATGCACTTTCGCACCTAACTTTTAATTCTTAATTTTTTTTACTTGAATTTTCTTCTCACAGTCACAACACATAATTATAAAACATTTTTACGTGATTCATCCTCTCATAAAGTAGGCCTACATTTTTTTAACAATAAAGATACATTTATAATATAGAATAGGTTGATACAGGGTTTCCGCGCTTGCTGGCACGCGCTTTTGCAATAAAGTAAGAAATTGCCAGAATGTCCGAGTCAGTTCTTAAATTTTGAAACCATTAAAGACCAGTATTATAACTTTAATTGGAATTTTCCCATGAAACATCCGACAACAAAATGTGGCATCATGCAGTAACATCTTTTTGAACTTTGTTGTCATAATCGAGGTTAATCGAACCGACGTTTATCATTGGC